TCTCTTTTTTAAAGAGGGCCTTTTTAATTCATTTTCAAAAACCTGAAAAAAAACATACTTCAAATGTGCGCCTCATTTTTTTTGCCTCAGATGTAGAGGCGTACGCCTCATTTTTTTTTTTTTTGTCTCACATATTGAGCCTCGAGGTACAGAAGCTACGCCTCACAGCGAGGCGGCCTCAGCATGGTTTTTTCATACTATGACTGACATGACGAAACATGGGCAACAAATAAGGGAACATGAATTGATATTCTGATAGAAAACATCAGTTTCCATCCTAAATTATTTGGAATTAGATGGAAAAGCCAATTATCTTACTTAGAAGCTTTCTAAGTAATCAACGTGGGACCTTTTATCTTTTAACGAAAGAAACCATTTTATCTGATGCTTAGGAGAGTCATTATGCTGCAGGACTGACTGATTTTTTATAATCATTGAAATCGTTGTCTTCTGCAATTTTCCATTTATCAACATTTCAGTTGGATGGAAAAGAAGCAAGTACTAGCAGTGAAAGTAAAGCAAAGTATTCTACATTTATTATAGTGTCAAAGGATGCGAAGACCATCTATATGAAAATAGTGACACTAAATTATGGGACATGAAATCTTGGGTTATCACACCAAATTATTAAAGGTTGACTTGCTGTTTGTGGGGGAATTTAGATACCTCTCTAGGTCTATCGATAGCAGTGCCAGTTTTATCTGCTAATAGTGCTACTATGTTCTCATAATGTAGAATGGAATCCTAAGCGCATGCGTATATAATTAACCAAGTTCATTGGGTTGCTCAACTCATTTATGAAGCTTTACATAGCTGTTTGTCCTTGAGAAAATTTCTGGGTCTTACCCAAATACAGGAAAAAATTTCTCTCTCGGCACCAGTTTGTGAATTGCCTATTCTGCTATTCTGAAAGAGTGCCCTAGTTACCTTCTTATTATCTCTCTTATGTCAATTATAGTGTCAGTGGCTTAGATGAAGAGATCTCGGTTCTGAAATATTGTACTTATGGGATGGGCCCCAAGATGAAATGCATCATGCATACACTTCATTGTCCCTGAAGAATTGATCATCAATTTTTGATATATAGGGTATTTTATTTTTCAAATCTATCAGTTTAAATTTTCTTAGAGCCTCTACTTGAAGATTCAGACAATCGATTTTATTAGGTGCTTAATTATCCTGAAACTAATGGAGCCATGGGGCATTCACTTGGCTTTTGGCATTGAGAAAAATAGTCTCCTCATAGGGATGTACATGAGTGGAGCTGTGAATAGCTGAATACTTGAAAAAATTTACTGATTGAACTCATGTAGAATCGAATGCGTTAATTGAAGTCAAGCTAATTTAAGCAAGCTAGGGGGCTATTGGGATCTAAGCTTTATTGGCAACGAGGTCCTTGGTAGAACAGAATGTAAGATACATATTCATATAGTTGACTCTATTAATAAACCCCTTGCTGATTGTTTCGAAGTCTTTAAAGCAGAAAGGACCAATTGACAAACTACATGCATTTAAGAGAAGACGTATTTGATTTCCAATTTTCTAATGAGAATGTAATGGTTGTCATCTTCACCCTAAAGTATTTGTGTTGCCTTACTCTGTATTTGTCTTTTTGTGTTCCAATTTGCAGCCACGAGAAGGGATGTATATCGTTGGTGATTTTATGACGAGAAAAGAGGATTTGCATGTTGTAAAACCTTCAACTACTGTTGATGAAGGTATCTCTGACCCTTGATCTGAATATATCTATTTGTCTACTAGTTCAACTTTTTAATTCATGAGCCTTTCCTTTTTATGTACAGCATTGGAGATGCTAGTCGAGAAAAGAATTACTGGATTTCCTGTGATCAACGATGACTGGAAGTTGGTAACATCTGGATTTTCTTCTGTCCGCTTTCTGTTTAATATGGCTTTTCCACTACTAGAAAAGCTTCATGCATAATATCAAATTAGCCTGTGTGAATTTACAGCTAACCCCTTGGGGATAGGCATGTTCTGCATTGAAGGGGAAATTTTTTTTTGGCTACATTCATGGGGTGAAGAACTGTCTGTCCAAATAGTCAAAGAGAACTGTATGCATCGAAAAGCAAGATATTGTGATGAAATATGTTTGTTTGACTAAGTGGCAGTGTTAGAGAAGATCATTTTCTGTTTGACTGATTGAACCAGAACTTGAGTTAAGTAGATCTCGTTTCACGAAGTAAAAAAATGAGATGCCTTTAGACTCTTATTTATATGTCTCTGTGAACTTGAGATCCATGTAGCAAGTTTCTTGGTTGGACCACTGTGTCAATGGATAATCTTATATACTTCTGGAGTGCTTCTAAATTGGTTAAAACGAAGTTGAAAAATGTTGAAATAAAAATTTGTTTCATTGTTAAAAGCCTGATTATGCTAAGGTAATTGTAGAAATTTGTTGAATTGCTGACTTTCCAAGATTGGATGAATGGGGAAGAGAAGTTAGCTGTGATGCTATTGCTATTTTTTTCTGTCTTAAAATTTACTTATGCTTTGTTGTATTCTACGGTTTTCTGTTACAACAATATTGTAATTAGCAACTACATTCCTCTAGTCTTTAAAGAACTTGGTCCACTTTCTGGCTTGTCAGATCATCTTATGTACTGTGTTTTGAATTACCTTAATTGGCTGTATAACTGTTAGTTTTTATTAGATGGGAAGATCATTGCTCCTCTAAAGCAGTAATAGACACCTTATGGTTTTTGATGAGATTATGATTTGTATGCCTGATTGTTCATCACTCAACAGAAGGTTGACCTGCAGTATTCTTTTAGGATTCTTTTCTTTTTTCATTCACCTTGTTTACATGTCCATGTTCACTGATTATAGATTTATGCTGCAGGTTGGTGTTGTTTCCGACTATGACTTGTTAGCACTTGACTCCATCTCAGGTACAATTGAAGTTTCGAAACTAAATTAGATATTTAATTGGAAACTATTTATTTCATCAGTTTGATTAAATATGATTTAACTTAATTATTTTGAAGTGTAAGGGCATCAGTATTCAGATGAGGTAGTCCTTCTTGGTGACGAGAGGTGATATAATTTTTTTAAGCAAAAGAGCAAATGGGTTAACAAATACTATAGTTGAGAAAACCACTTGGCAGCAAAAAAATTTAATTTCTTCCCTTTCCCCCCATATAGAGCTGATGAGGAAAAAAAACAAAAAGATATAGAAATAGGAAGAGAATGAGAACACATGATTAGTGAACATGCAGCATGGAACTTTACAATGAAAGACGTAAAATGTTCTGCTACTTTGATGAGGGTTTTCAGAACTCTTATAGAGCAGAAAAGGCTTATCATTCTATTAAAAATCAAAGCGGAAAAAAAAATTACATTTAAATTAAGAATCATTACATGCCGTGGATTCAGAAATTAGCATTATTACTCATCTTGCAAAAGGTACACTTGAAACTATTTTGCCTGGTGTGCCAGTTATTTTGTTATGAAGATTAAATCTTGGTGACTATTGATCTACTTTCTTATCTGTGAAACTTAGGCAGCGGTCAACATGACACAAATATGTTTCCCGACGTTGACAGTACTTGGAAAGTATGTGAAAACTCTTCCTTCCATGTTTCGAAATCTCTACATTTAGTGATGAATTAGTATGTTTACTTTTTGTTCATAGGGACCTTTAAATGAGCTCTTTGTTCAGGAATAGTTCTGTACTATTGCTGCTATCCTGCGAATCCTCTGCTTTGTTTCTGCCTTTTATCTTATTTAAAAGAAGTAATAATAGGATGAAATGAAATAACTAATTGCATAGAATGAAATGAAATAGCTTACACATTTATATTATCGTTATCAGTGTCCTAGACAATATGTTATAACTGGCATTTGATATATTTAAATCATACCAAACTGATTCCGCCCTGAAAGAGACTAGGTTACTTTAAACTGGACGTGATGTGAGAATACACTTGAGCTGTCCCATTTTGATGCTATTTATGTAACATTTTTTAGTCCACTGATCAGCATATTGTCAACTTCTTGATAATATATTCATATTAATTTATTCAATGGGCTTCTCCTTTCTTCCTAATGTTATGGCAGACATTTAATGAGATTCAGAAGCTACTCAGCAAAACTAATGGGCAGAGTGTCGGTGACCTTATGACCCCTGCTCCCCTTGTTGTTCATGAGAACTCAAACCTGGAGGATGCTGCGAGGTACTAGTTTCCCTTTCTCTTTTCTTTCCTGGTTATGTTCCTTAGTAACCAAAGTCAACTTCAAGTCATCAGTTGAATTTGTTTTCCTGTTAGTAGTAGGAGACTAAATACAAAAATTTGTTTCTTTGGTTTAGATTATTGCTTAAAACCAAGTATCGTCGACTGCCAGTTGTAGATGGCGATGGAAAACTGGTAATGTGATTCTATTTCCTGTTCTTTTACATGGATTTGCTTACATTTATCAGCGGAAAGTAGTTTCTTACTGCTCTATGTTTGCTCCTATATGAAAGGTTGGCATTATCACCCGAGGAAATGTGGTTAGAGCTGCCCTTCAAATAAAACGTGCTAGTGGCACAATATAAATTCAGGACCGAAGAATTGGTCTCATGGAAATAATTTCAGCATCATATGAAATGTGCAATATGGTTCTTCAGTTTCTTTGGTTGATTGTTTATAGAATATGGTGATGATTATTCAATGATTTCTCTTACAAGCGTTCCTATTGGGCAATCCTATTCAATATTTGCATTTTAAGTATTTAGAAGACCCCAAGACTTGGAAATTTATTCTTATGCCGGCTTGTGTCTATAAATTTAGTAGATATGTGCACTTATTTGGCATATGTTTGAATCTAGAAATTTTAGCTGAGATATTGGATATCTGCCCATGGCCTCCTCAAAAGTTTACTGGAGAACGATCTTCTCTCCCAAGCCTCCCTCGGGCGGCCTTATAGTAAGTGTGAGTTTAATTAGTCTCTATATCTGTTGTTTTCCTTTCTGAACATCGAATTTTACTACTTAATTCTTCAACTTTGTTACGGATGTGTGTTTGATATGAAAAAAAGTCGGTTTGATACATAAACAGAATGATATGTGACAATTTTAGATATATCTTAATACGTCATATCAACTCAACGAACTCTAACAATCTCAAAATAACGTGAAAAAAATGGTAACATATTAACGGACTGTCAATTTTGCTAAAGATAGGATAAAGCATAACAATTTACTTGTTCATCACTTTTAAGCCTTTAATTACTCCCCGCAAGCCTGCACTTGATTGTCTAAACATCATGTTTAAAATTTTGCTATCATGTTTGAAATTTGATATAAATGAGACACTAAACATCTTTATCATTGTAATGCTAAGATCTTTACTCGGAGAAATATAAGGAACGTTGATTCATATTGTTTCCTTTGTACGATAAAGCTTATCTCTATTGTCTCGCTGGCCAACCTTGATCGCACTCAATTCTTCAAACAAAGCATTCAAGTCAGTGTAAGAAGATCCATCTTCTTCAACAGCCTTTCTTGCTTTCTCTTTATATTCTTGTGCTCGTCTTCTCATTTCTGCACCTTCTTCTCCTTCCATAATGCGCCGAATTGCCGTGTCTATGGCTTCCCTTTCAATGCCTTCACTTCCCATTCTCTTCCATTGCTTATTCCCAACAGAAACTCCAATTCTTAAAACATCTGTCACCAATTTCTCATTGAAAAACTGCTCTGCGAAAATTGGCCATGTCACCATGGGCACCCCCGAACACACTCCTTCAAGGGTTGAATTCCATCCGCAATGTGTTACAAAACCCCCTACTGCTTTGTTTTCAAGAATCGAAAGTTGGGGTGCCCACCCTCTAATGATCAGTCCTTTATCTTTTGTTCTTTCCTCAAATCCTTCCGGCAGCCAGTTTTCTGTTTCATCTTCTTCTTGGTTCTTGCCTTTTCTAACAACCCAAATGAATTTCTGGCCGGAGATGTCAAGACCGTTTGCAATTTCATGTAATTGTTTTTCAGTAAAGGTTGCCAAACTTCCAAAACAGACATAAACTACAGAATTTGGGTCCTTGGAGTTGAGCCATTCCAAGCACTCATCTTCATCGATGGCGGATTCTTTTCCTCTCTGTGCTTTATATTCTTCTCCTCCCTTATTGCATAGCAAAAGTGGGCCTATATGCCATGCTTTTCTTCTCAAAACTTTCCTGTAATGGTCAGCATAATCAGGTTCCAGCTCGTAGAAGCTGTTGACAAGAACTCCATAGCTTCTGGTCTCTGATTCTTGTATTCTGATAAGCTGCTTTGTGAAATCATTTTGTATTTCTTCTTGATCAAAATGAAACACCTGAAAGGAGAAAAATCAACAGCATTTAATTATATCCTCTTAACTAAATTGCCCTTTTAAGATCAAGACTCATTATACACGGTATTATCAAAGCCCAAAAGGCTCAAACAAGCAATTCAATCCATCAAAAGCTCAAACTGTTTAAACATAGAAAGAATGATCAAATATATAAGGACTTGGCACTTTTAATACCACTTGAGGTCTTGTAAACTTGAGCTCGTGGGGAAGATCGGGCAGGACAAATTGTTCAGAATCCGATGATACATTCTTGAAAGGCTCGTAAATCCTCATGTGTTCTGAAGAGCATAGTGAGAGATAACATGTTCCATGAAAAACCAACCTTGGGATATCAAATTTGGCTGCAGAATCAACAGCCCATGGAAAGAACATATCTGCAACAAGACAATCTGGATGAAATTCTTCCAGGAGTTTTTCAACGGGTTCCTGGAGCAATTCCAGGGCTTTTGCAAACATGGGAATCAAATCATCTGATATTTGGTCAAGGCTCTTGATTTCATCAGGCAACTCAGATTTTTCTGGAGGAAATTTCAGCACATGCATCCCAATATCACATCCTGATTCCCTGGCATTTTCTATCAGTTTATCAAATCCAGGAGTGGCAATTATAGTTGTCTTCACACCCCTGGAAATGAAAAGCTTGGCCATGTCCAAGGTTGGAATCATATGTCCTGGAGCCAACAATGGAAAGAAGAAAACATGTAACTGATTCATTTCGCCAAATTATCTAACAGATCGTGAAAATTCAAAGATTTGTTGATTGGCTGATAATGAACAGTGTGTGAATATTGCAACACACACGTAGAAGGCATGTATATATCATAGGCAGCAGCATGGGAGTGGTTAATTTTCCCAGAACATATAAGTCCATTATGTTTGCTAATTGGTACACTGAGTTGTCAGTTCTGGCAAGCGTGTAATCTTTCTTACCAAACACAAACACAAACACAAACACGTCATTATAAAATTTATAATATAATTTTGTAGACAAGTGCCAATAAACGACGTTATTAAATTTGTGGATAGTTAAAGAGTGTTGGATTAGATATTGCTCTGATATCATGCTAAATTACTTAAGACGAAAAATAAATTTTCGAAGTTGGATAACATATATTGAACCACTGTATGAGAATAGTAAATTTTCAGAGAATAAATGGCCATTATAATGCAGGTTTTGGGACACCAAAATGTTTGGGAATTTCTTATCAAATAAAAATTACGATTTCTAGACTCCTGACATGAGACAATACATTAATTCTAGGAAAATATTAGGTGTACATGTGGGGGTTCATAGAACGCTCCACAGACAACTCACATTGGGGGGCGAGGGGGAAGGGGGTAATTTTTTTTTTTATTGAGGCAGAGTCCTGAACACCTCATGTGAATTGTCCTGTACGCCCACCATTCCACTTAATTTTGAGGATGGCAAAAGAGAAGGAGCAAGTAGTCAAATAATGCTGAATTACTTTATTCAAAAATTTTGACTTTGAACGTATGTTGAATATTACTAGATTAAATAATATTAACTAAAGTAATTTTTTAATTTTTTTATTGAGGCGAGTCCCGCACACCTCATGTCAATTGTCCCTGGGGGGACCATTCCCCTTAATTTTGAGGATGGCAAAAAAGAAAGAGCAAGTTGTCAAATAATGCTAAATTATTTTATTCAAAAAAGTTGACTTTGAACGTATGTTGAATACTACTAGATTAAATAATATTATCAAAAAAATTAAAAAATATTTGTTACTCTTGAGTAAAGTTCAATAGTGCATATAAAATTAGATATTATGGTAAATATTATTTAATTATATTATACTTAACAGGTGATTAGAGATTGAAATTTCACGGAATTGATACCCATCTTTTTGAATATCAAGTATTTTCTGTACGATCACTTTCAAGCATTTAGTGCTCATTTATAGATATTTGATTATTTATTCCAACCACTAAAGGAAAAAGAGAGGTGAAAAGACACCTAATTTTTAGTGAAAAAATAAGCATGGAATAAAACATGTGGTATCACTAAAGATTGTCCCCAGCGGAATTGGGTCCATGAAATTGAAGCAAGAAGTCGGATGGAATTTGGCGGCTAATTAAATGGTCTGTAGCAAACAGTAACGTGGAGGAATATTGAACGAGTTTTCCTTTACTGTTTATTTCAAGTTAAGCATAGTTGATGTCCGGTTCGTAACATGAAAAAAGGTTGAGAACAAATAGGGTCAAAGTTAAAGGCGGTGGCTTATATTGGTCTTCTAATGTTTGGGAGTTAATGGTAATTATTGGTCCCCAAATCGTATTTGAACATCATATAAACAAAGTATTTGCATAAACCAAAAATCGCAGAAACTAAAAAACAAGAACACGAAGAATTTTCACCCGCTTATGGATCCGGATGTTTACGTGCTCTAAACTCTATTAACATGCTGAGCATTTACAAGTACATATTGCTCCAGAACATAAATCCTGTGTTTGGTACTGATTAAAATCTAGATTTTAGTCAAAGTCAACAATTCATTTCAATTACATATTATATGAGTCCTACAAATTTTTAACAATACATGTCAAGGATTTCTATCAAAATCTACTAAAAATTTAATTTTAATCTCCGCTAAATAGGTTTAAAATTAGCCAAGAACAGTTTGTACGATGCATGAAGTTTCTTCATGTGTTTTCTCTCACCTCACTCCAAACTTACCAACATACATTCGGCACATTAAATTCCGATCATGCTACTTGTACAAAGTGACTTGACAAATTGGGTTTACAAAGTGATGTGACAGGAATTAAAAGACTTAAAAGTCTTTC